ATGTGAAGGAAAAACTGAGAAAGCTGAAAGGGGAAATGGAAAAGTCTACAAATTATAGCTGGAGACCATACTCATTTCTGAGTAGACAAGTTGATAAATTGATAAAAGAGGTAAACAGATAAGCAGTAAGGATATAGGACACTCAAACACCACTGTCAACCAACCTGACTGAATCGACATTTAGAGAACCCTCCACTCAACAGTTGCAGAATATAATTCTTTTGATGTGCACACATGGAACGATTGCTAAAATATGCTAGGCCATAAAAGAAGTCTCAATATATTTAAAAGGACTGAAATTATATAGAATAAGTTCTTAGGTCTCACAGGAGTTAAATTAGAAATCAGTAACAAAATCTGGAAATACTCCAAATATTTAGAAATTAAATCATACACTTCTAAATAATGCAATTTTAAACCATTTAAGTCAATGATAACAAAACACAAAATAATAAAATTTGTTAGATTTAGCTAAAGCAGTGCTAAAAAGAATGAAAAGTTTTAATAATCATATTAGAAAAAAAGAAAGATCCAGGAGTCAGTCATATAAGCATCCACTTAAAAAATCTAGACATATGAAGTACAAAAAATCCTAAGTAGAAGGAATAAAGCAACAGGTAAGAGTAGCTCTCAATGCCTTAAAAATGAGAAAATCAATAGAAAAGATCAGTGTGACTGGTAAACTTCTAGCTAATATGATGAAGAAATAAAAAACACAAAATAAACAATATCAGGAATGAAAAATCATGGTCAAATGGAATTTATACCAGGAATGTAAGATTGATTTAATATTAGAAAATCAATCAGTGTAATCAACCATATTAACATACTAGGGGAAGAAACCCTTATAATGATCTCAGTAGACTAGTGAAAAAGCATTTGTTAAGTTTCAACACCTAACACTGAGCAAACTAAAGGTAAAAGGAAACTAATTCAGATCTATTAGCATCATACTTAATAGACTAAATCTTTTTCTACTTAGACAAGAAATAAAGGAGACTTTTATTCAGCATTGTACTCAAAGTCCTTGTCAGCATAGTAAGGGAAGGAAAAAAAAGGCGCATAGATTATAAAGGAAGTAAACTGTGTTTATTTGTAGATGGCATTGAGAGTATGCTTAGAAAATTCTAACGAATATAGAAAAAGTTACAAAATAAGTAAGTAAATTTACCAAAGGATAGCTATAAGTTAGCATGAAAAAATCATTTGTAGTCTTGTTTTTATGCACTAGCAATTAACATTTAGAAAATGAAATTTTAAGCAATTAGAAAATAGCATCCAGAATATAAAATAATTAGAATACATCCAACAATATATACAAAAAACATACACATGAAAACTGCAAAACATTGCCAAGGAAAATTAAGTATCCAAATAAATGGAGAAATATGAGAAATATACTGTGTTCATTGTTTGGAAGACTCAGCATGTCAGTTTTCCCCAAATTGTTCTGTAGAGTCACTGCAATCCCTGTCAGAAATCCCAATGGGGATTTCTCTAGTGATTGACAAACTGAATCTGAAAGTTATACCAAAGAGTAAAGGACCTAAACGGCCAAAGTAATTTTCAAAAAAGAACAAAGCTATGAGATTTATATTACCTGATTTTAAAATTTACTATAAATATATAGTAACCAAGATAGTAATTAGACAAAGAATAGACATACAGGTAATATAACAGAATACTCTATATAGTCAGTTGATTTTTGCAAAATATCCAAGGTAAATTAAGGAGGAAAGAGCAGTCTGACAAATGGTACCAGAACAATTGGATATCCATATAAAAAAACAAAATTGAACCTCAACCTATATACTTACACCTTATACAAAAATAAACTCAGAGTGGATAATCTGCATGCTTGAAACTAAAACTTAAACTTCTAGGGAAAAAAATGGAGAAATTTTTATGATTTGGGCATAGGCACCGATATTTTAGGACAAAAAAAATACCTGCCTTACAGAATTTATAAACTGGACTTGGTCAAAATTAAAATAATATTTTCAAAAGACATAGTTAAAGGAATGTAAAAAGCAGTCAGAGATTGTGAGAAAATGTCAACAATACATCCTATAAAAGTCTTCTCCACAATATCCCCGAAGCTGTTATAACTCAATTTTTTTAGAAAAATATATAAACCCCACTTAAAAAATGGGCAGAGCATTTGAAAAGATAACTTGACAAAAGATACTAAAAAATATTTTGCATTTTGAGATAGTGAAATACTTTAAGACATTAAGTTTTTGAGTATAAAAATTGAAGTAATTTCACTATCTAAAAATTAAGAGTAAAAGACACCTTAAAGGGAAGGGAGTAAACTTTGAGACAGTATTCACAGTATGTAAATTGATAAGTAATTATTTTCAAGAAATAGAGACATGTCCTTCTGTTTACAACAGCTAATAAAAACAACCTGGCTTAATAATATAGTATGTTATAATAAGTGTAAATATATATGTTTACTTGTGTGCCTGTACATATGTGTATATATGTGTGTGTGTGTATTTGTTTGAAAGCATTGGAGAGGTAACAGGGTTGTGAAGAGTATCGGGCCAGGTCTTAGGAAAAACGAGGACACCTAGACAGGTGAGCCTGGCATTTGGGGCTGGCAACCTTTTCTCCAGATAAAATCTTCAGGGTCTTTTGATTCCTGAGGAGTCATCTTGAGAAGCTGAGAATGCTCCAGATTCTTGAGGCTAAGGCTAATAATACTCTTTAAGGCCTTCTGAGTAGGGGTCTAAGCTGGGACTTTGAAGGGCTACTCCCTAGGAGTAAGTAAAGGTGAGTCAGAAAGTGTCCTACCTCTCCTCATGGGATTAAATTTATACATCACATTTTCTTAATCTCTTATTGGATTAAGGCAATCCAGGATTACTAGTGGATCAAGCCTAACTTTTTATGAAAAACAGAAATAAATCTCTTGATAAAGATATCCCCTGAAACCTCAAATTATATCTATGGCTTTCCATATGCCTTGTCTGGCACTCAGTTCAGACATAACATGATGGAAGAACAAGAAGAAAAACTATTGTTTACCAAACATCATCAGTATAAGAATAATTGAAATAGAGTATACATCCTCAAAGAGCTTACAGTCTAGCTGGGGTGTCAGAAATGTAAACAACCTAAAATTATCTGGATAATGAAGTGCTCAGATACAGATACATACTTTAATATATTTAAATACATAAAGACTAAATGTAAAATTTCAGAAGAAAATTGAAAATGAACAAAAGAACCTAATGGAAGTTCTAGAATTGAAAAATAAAACAACAGAAAATATTTAGAATTTGATGGATTAAATCTGGATAGATAAGAAAACAGAGTGAATCCTAAAAAACAAGATAGAAAATACAGAAAAGAGAGATAAGAGAAATAGATAATACATTAAAGGTCTAACATAGGTATAATTGATATTTTAGAAGGCAAAAACATGAGTGAAATAGGGAAAGATGGCTGAGAAATTTTTTTAAAATGCAGAGGATATCAAACAACAGATGCAGTAAGACCTGTAATTTGAGAAGGATAAATACCTACAGTGAAAATAATACCTTAGCATTTTATTAGGAAAATCTAAAAACCAAAAGATATACTCTTAAAAGCACCAATAAAAAAGTCCAGTCACTTCAAAGAATCAACAGCAAAAATGATGGCTTATTTCTCATTGAAAACAGTTGAAATCAGAAGACAGTGGAATGTGCTAAATCAGAGTAATTATTGTAGAATGCTGTACTCAGTTAAAAATAGATAAAAGTAAAATAAAGGCAGTAACTAAGAACAGTTGGACATGGAGTTGTCAAGGGAGAAGTAAAGTATAAAATATGAGTGCAAATTGGGAATAGTGGCTTAAAATTAAAAATTTAACTTGAATTTACTATTACTATGTCATCAGAGTTCACTTAAAATGCTGCTTTTAGATATCAACAACCGTTTAAGGGCTTGGATTAAATTATAGTGGTCATTTCTACTTTTTGAATGCCTACCTGCCAAGTCTGTATTAGGTGATTGCAATATAGTGAGAAGCAAACACAGACAGTTTCTTCTTTCAGGAGCTCATATTTTAGTGGCTGAAGTAATGATGGTGGCCTGGGGACAGAAATTAAACAGAGAACCACACAATAAACTATAAAGTTGTACTATGGAAGGGACATGAGTCCATGGTTCTGTGAGATGATATAATGGATGAATTGACCTTTGCTAAGTCTAAAAGAAGTTAGCTACATCAGGAGAGGCAGCATCAGCATGTGTAAAGACTGGCAGGAAACAGAATACATTGGAAGACTGGAAAGAAGGCTTGTGTAGCTGTAGCACAGAGAACTACATTTAGGTAATATACAGCGGTCTCTCTGTAAAAATATGGAATGGGAAGAAACTGGACAGGTAAGTATCGACTGCAGTGTTGATTTGGGGGCTTATATAAAGGATTTTGTGCTTTATCCTTAGAACAATAGGGTCATTGAAATATATTATACAGGTGGGTAATATTTCAGATGTGCACTTGAAAATTTCACTGCAGTATAGAGAATGGATTGAAGATAGGTAGTGGATATGGACAGATTATGTTGCTCTTATTGCAGTACTCTTAGATAATGAGTGATTATAGCTTGGGTTTGCATGATGGAACCAGAGATCATGGTTAGATTGCCTAGGTATGTAGGAGATAAGTATGGCAGGGTTAGGTGATAGATTGGGTTTTAGAGGGAAGTAGAATAAGATATCAGAGTATTATAAATGACTATAAGACTTTCTTTTTACATATTAAAAAGTATAGTTTGAAAATGTTTAAAAGTGAAAGAATTGCTTGAATAAATAATCATTTATACAGTAGCATTTTATGAGACTAGTAAGAGTGAAGTTTATGAAGACTTTAATGGCATGGGAGAATACCTATGGGGATACATATAAAGAATAATATGAACTTGTTTATACTTGGATTCTTAACTATATAAAGTTACAATAGTGAAGCATGCTGATGATCAGAAATGACTGTTTCTGACATACAGACATCTCAAGAACATGCTGTTAATGGTCCACAACTCCTGAGGAAAAAACGTACAACATCAGCTGAAAAAAATACTTGTCAGCTTTATATTCAGACTGATCATCTGTTCTTTAAATATTATGGAACACGAGAAGCTGTGATTGCCCAGGTATTTACAATTCTGCTACTATTTTAAGAGTTCTTATGTTGTTTCATAATACCTATATTTTCCTTTGAAGTTGATACATGCATGTCTCTTTTTGGAAAGGAAGAATATGTTTTCAACTGTGATACAAAAAAATGCATAAAATAAATACCCAGATAACTGAAAGACTAGTTAGGATATTTTAGTGTCATTCAGAACAGATTTAAGAAAATGATTTCACGAAGGAAGTAATACTGAAATTTAGCTTTGAAAGGGCACATTTTCACTTGTGGTCTTAAAGAAGGGAAAGACAGAGGAATCCTCCTGACAGGAGGCATTTAATCTCTTTTCTGGATTCCCATTGTACTTTGCGCTTTCTAAGTTTCATTGTTATTTCATGCGTGTCTTCTTAATCCTTCTTAAACCACAAAACTTTTGGAGATGCCCTGTAAAATGTCCTTTATATAGAAGATTCCCAATGAGAGTTTGATGAATGCATTTGACTAAAAATTTGAGACAGAGGGTGGAGGTACCACTAGTATAAATGGTGAGCTTATTTTGGTGGTAGGAATGAGCCTAATTTTAGACGTATTTAAAAGCCAAGCGGTCATTCCTTAGGATGTTAAAAATGTAGACCTGGAGCTTGGGATAACGTTAGCTTTGAACTTTCTGTATGGAATTAAAGGGTACAAGTGAGAGTTAAAATAAGGTGAGAAAATGAAATCAGAAGAGAAGAAACTGGAGGACAGTATCTATAGATAGTGAACAGGATGAGGAAGAGAAGCTCTGGGGTAAACATAATAAAGTAAGGAGATTATATAAGATTAGCCAGGGAAGAAACACATTTCAAAACAAAATGAACAGCTAATAGTGTCATATTGCAGAGATATCAAAGAGAATGACTATAATGTGTTAATTTACTAGATGGGAAGAATCCTTTCACAATGGATACATTTATCAAATCTATGTATACTTTAAATATTTTCATAATTTTGTAAATTATACCTCAGTAATGCTGAAAAAAAATGGTTACAAAAGGTAGTTGATTTTTAGTTACGAGAAGATTATTGATGAGCTTTAAGCAAGCTCTTGATAGAGTTGTGACGGTGAAAACACTGCAGTCAGGAATGGTTTGTAGAAGCAGTGAGGTTTCAAGAAAATGTGAAAAATTGAAAAAATTATGGTAACTTAAAAACAATGTGGAATATTTGGTGATGAAATGAGTATTTGCAGATGAATACATGAGCAAGTTGGTAGAAAGAGGAAAATGTTCCAGTAGAAGAGCAATGTAAATAAGATATAAGAGAAAGAAAAACTGATGTCTTAAACATCGAATAAGGATTGGGTTCAGGAATAAAGAAGTTTCCTTTTAAGGAAGAGTTTACCCTTTGAGGAAGATAGAAATGGAGGAAGAGAAAAATTTGAAGGTAAAGAGAGAGGAAAGTCAAGATGAACTCTCAGTAAAGTATGAAGTATAATCATTTGTGAAGAAATGTTTGAACAACCACTGTTGGAAATGAAGTAGAATCAGTGAGAATTGCATATAGGATTGCTAGGCCAAGTAAGGTTAGACAGCATGAATTTAATATGGACCTAGTCAGCAATGTTATGATTATTTAATCAATGTTTGGCAACCTGGACTACTTTTGAAATTGTTATTGTTAATGTTTCTACTTGACTGTCATGTTTATATAATTTCTTTGAAAATATTTTTAGAAGTATATATACATGTATTCACATAAATGGTAGCAAGAGTGCTTTTTATAAATGAAGGCAGAAAAGTTGTATACATACAGAGCGGTTTAGAAACCAGAGAGTTTAGCTGGGAGTCAGCACCTCCCTTCCCACCCATCCTCCCCAGTCCCTTTCCCTTTGGTAACTGTTAGTCCATTCTTGGGTTCTGTGTTTCTGCTGCTGTTTTGTTCCTTCAGTTTTTTCTTTCTTCTTATACTCCACAGATGAGTGAAATCATTTGGTACTTGTCTTTCTCCGCCTGGCTTATTTCACTGAGCATAATACCCTCTAGCTCCATCCATGTTGTTGCAAATGGCAGTATTTGTTTTTTTCTTATGGCTGAATAATACTGCATTGTGTATATGTACCACATCTTCTTTATCCATTCATCTACTCATAGACACTTAAGTTGCTTCCATATCTTGGCTATTATAAATAGTGCTGTGATAAATATAGGGGTGCATATGTCCTTTTGAATTTGTGATGCTGTTTTCTTTGGGTAAATTCCTAGGAATGGAATTTCAGGGTCAAATGGTATTTCTATTTTTAGTTTTTTGTGGAACCTCTATACTGCTTTCCACAATGTTTGAACTAATTTACATTCTCAAAACAGTGTAGGAGGGTTCCCGTTTCTCCACATCCTGGCCAGCATTCGTTGTTGTTTGTCTTTTGGATGTTTGCCATCCTAACTGGTGTGAAGTAATATCTCATTGTGGTTTTAATTTGCATTTCTCTGATGATTAGCGATGTGGAACATCTTTGCACGTGCATGTTGGCCATCTGAATTTCTTCTTTGGAGAAGTGTCTGTTCAGATCCTGTGCCCATTTTTTAATTGGGTTATTTGCTTTTTGTTTGTTGAGGTGCGTGGGTTCTTTATATATTTTGGATGTCACCCCCTTATTGGATATGTCATTTATGAATATATTCTGTAGGATGCCTTTTTGTTCTACTGATGGTGTTCTTTGCTGTACAGAAGCTTTTTAGTTTGATATAATCCCACTTATTCATTTTTGCTTTTGTTTCTCTTGCCTGTAGAGAGATGTTTAGGAAAAAGTTGTTCATGTTTATATCAAGAGAGTTTTGCCTATGTTTTCTTCTAAGAGTTTTATGATTTCATGACTTACATTCAGGTCTTTGATCCATTTCAAGTTTTCTTTTGTGTATGGGGTTGGACAATAATCCAGTTTCAGTCTCTTACATGTAGGTGTCCAGTTTTGCCAACACTGGTTGTTGAAGAGGCTGTCATTTCCCCATTGTATATCCATGGCTCCTTTATCATATATAATTGTCCATGTATGTATGGATTTATATCTGGGCACTTTATTCTGTTCCATTGGTTTATGGGTCTGTTCTTGTGCTAGTACCAAATTGTCTTGATTACTGTGGCTTTGTAGTAGAGCTTGAAGTTGAGAAGCGTAATCCCCCTGCTTTATTCTTCCTTCTCAGGATTGCTTTGGCTATTTGGTGTCTTCTGTAGTTCCATATGAATTTTAGAACTATTTGTTCCAGTTTGTTGAAGAATGCTGTTGGTAATTTGATAGGGATTGCATTGAATCTGTAAACTGCTTTAGGCAGGATGGCCATTTTGACAATATTAATTCTTCCTATCCATAAGCATGGGATGAATTTCTATTTATTAGTGTCCTCTTTAATTTCGCTTAAGAGTGTCTTGTAGTTTCCAGGGTATAGGTCTTTCACTTCCTTGATTAGGTTTATTCCTAGGTATTTTATTCTTTTTGATGCAGTTGTAAATGGAATTGTTTTCCTGATTTCTCCTTCTGCTAGTTTGTCATTAGTGTACAGGAATTCAACAGATTTCTGTGTATTAATTTTATATCCTGCAACTTTGCTGAATTCAGATATTAGTTCTATTAGTTTTGGAGTAGATTCTTTAGGGTTTTTTATCTACAATATCATGTCATCTGCAAATAGTGACAGTTTTAACTTCTTCCTTACCAATCTGGATGCCTTTTGTTTCTTTGTGCTGTCTGATTGCTGTGGCTAGGACCTCCAGTACTATGTTGAATAAAAGTGGGGAGAGTGGGCATCCTTGTCTTGTTCCTGATCTTAGAGGAAAAGCTTTCAGCTTTTCACTGTTAAGTATGATGTTGGTTGTGGGTTGGTCATCTGTGGCTTTTATTATGTTGAGTTACTTTTCCTCTATACCCATTTTGTTGAGAGTTTTTATCATGAATGGGTGTTGAATTTTGTCAAATGCTTTTTCAGCATCTATGGAGATGATCATGTGGTTTTTGTCCATCTTTTTATTGGTGTAGTGGCTGATGTTGATGGATTTTTGAATGTTATACCATCCTTTCATCCCTGGCATGAATTCAACTTGATCATGATGGATGGTCCTCTTGATGTATATCTGAATTCAGTTTGCTAATATATTGTTGAGTATTTTTGCATCTATGTTCATCAGGGATATTGGTCTGTAATTTTCTTTTTTTTTTTTTTTTTGGTGTCTTTGCCTGGTTTTGTTATTAAAGTGATGCTGGCTTCATAGAAGGAGTTTGGATGTATTCCCTTCTTTTCTATTTTTTGGAAAACTTTACCTCCTCTCCCCCTTTAGAATAAATCTCTGAAAATTTGTAGGGACTGTCTTTGTTTTATTCAGCAATACATCTCAGCACTGAAAACAGTGTCTAGTATGTAGTAAATGGTGAACAGAATTTGCAGAATGTGTACTAATGCAGCAAGAGAAAGACTGAAGACAGAGAATGACTGCGTGTCCTGATATTATCAGGGAAGTTCTTACTGAAGATGTTTGAGCTAAGTCTGAATAAATAAGCATACTTTAGGCATAAGGAAACCACATGTGAACAGGCATGGAGGTGTGACATTGCAGGATGGATTGAGGAGACAAAGTTTTTTATGACTGAAGTAAGAGTACGTGTGTATTTTGGCCAGAGGAGAGTCTGGAAAAGGCAGAGAACTTCCCCTCCCAGCTAATCTTTCATCCAGGATTGATGAAGACATTTTAAAATTTGATTGTGGTAGAACATGAATAATTCTTGGTTTGGGAAATGAGAATTCAGTCTTTTTCATGTTTCTGCATTGCCTGTAAAATGTTTTGTTTTTTTTTAAATCTGTAGATATCCAGTCATGTTAAAGCGATTGATACAATTTACCAGACCACTGACTTCTCCGGAATCCGTAACATCAGTTTCATGGTGAAACGCATAAGAGTAAGAAATTTCAATAGTTGTAAACATTGAAAAAGAGAAACAATAAGGGCCATGTTTACAAAAAGAAAAATGGTTTCTTTTTATTTGGTCTTTTAGTTTAAATTGTATCTGCTAATGCCCTTTATCCTTAAGTCTTGGCTTTTACACACACACACAATAACACAATAGCTGGGTTATAATTTAAGAATGAAATCTATTGGGCTTTAATCTGGACTGCAAAAGTGGGTATGACAGTAGTTTTCTATCTGTGTGGTTAACATACTGATTAGAAAACCTTAAACTCTAAAAAACTACAGATACAGTACTTGACATATTTTTCCCCTGGTACTATTCCATAGTTTTTTCAGATTTGCCTTGTGCAGTATTTTTCAGTGTGTTTTCCATATGGTGCTCAGGGGAGGGAAGGATAGTTCCAGTGATTACATAAAGTTGGAAGTTGGAAAAACATTTAATATTATACCCTCTTGAAAATTCACAGTGCACACTAACATGTTTCACATTTTGAGAAGTCCTTCAGGAAGGAAACTTGGATTTTTCCTAACTGATCTGACCATGGAACCTTTTCTGTATTAACATAAACTGAGATGCCAAAAACTGCTGAACACATTTTCAGAAATGCTCATCCAAATAAGCAAATATTAAATTACAAATAAAATTGGGCCAATTATTTCAAAAATTTTCCAAATATGAACTATTTCAGTGTAGATCACTTTTACGAATCTGAATTCACGAACTAGGCAACAACCCAAATATTTAAAAAATAAAATCATTTTGTGAAAGTATTTGCCACAGGGTTTTTATATTTGTGCTCCTATTTTTCTTTAAATATGGTTGACTAGATTATAATTTTAGTGCATACATGTAATTATTTAATAACAGAGCTGAAGGTACCCTTTCAGAAGTGTGATTAAGTTATTAAATTGGATTGTTTTTAAGTGGAATATGGTTTGTAGATAAACAGTGTAGAAACTGTTTATAATTGACTTCTTTTATGTATTTTGAGAGTACAATATAAACCCTTAAATAGCAAGCAAAAGTTATTAAGTGGTTGACCAATATCACTGTTTAGTAGACAGAGCAATAAAATGCAAAGTAGTGAGTAGAGAATAGCTGGACAAATTTTAGTGAAGCATAATTTTTTTGAGTAAAATGATTTGCATTAAGAAATGCATATATATGAATAGATAATGTGGCAGCTGGTTGTTTCCAGGCCTTTAACTGAGATTAAAACTTTAGTTAAATCTGACCTATTGAAGATTGTGACCCATTCATTTGAAGTATTATATCAGCAAGTATTTAAATATTAATAATCTCATTATTAATATAGTTAACTAAAATTCAGATGCAGTTTTTATCGGTAGCTAGTATTACAGAAATATCAGGGAATTACATGTCTGTGTTTAGTGGGAAAAAGCCATCTACAGCATGTCTCTATGCATGGGCTGTTCATAATATATAGTGTGTTTGTCTTTGGATTTTTTTTGTGTTGGATGACCACACCTGTGTGTTTTTTATTAACTGTTAATGGATAAACAAAATGTTCTGAAATACATTCTTAGGCAGTTGCCCTCAGTAGTGTTTGTTTACGGAAGGGTGTGGATCCTAAAAAGACTGTAGTTTTCGGTCACTTGATTAACTGTTAACATCCTCCCCTTACTACCAAAATTTTTAGTAGACTGAGGTTGGCCTTCTAAAAAATGTTTACTTTCATACATATCTCTTTTTATTTTCTATTCTTGTATGTAATTCTCTGACTTCCTCAGGGAAAGTCAAATTGTTCCAAAAGGACAGTCAGGAGTCTCTGAAAGAAGGCAGGGGCTAATAAACAAAAACTTTTGTTTAGTAGAAGTTTGGTATCAGAACTGATTATTCTTTAGATTGTTAAGGAAAAACATGTAGCAGAAGTACTGTAGCTAAGTAGCAGAGGAAACATTCTGGAGGAACTTAGCTTGAAATAGAGAAAAAAATTGGCAGTAAAAAATATTTTAAATGTTACTCATCTTCAGGGGAAAAAATTGAACGTGCAGTTTTTTTGGGTTGACTCATACAACTCTGAAGGACAGGCAAGGAGAACCGTCTCTCCTGAATTGACAGTCTTGGGTTCAATAGCTATTTTATGTTCTAGTAATTAGCTAAAATATAGGGTTGTATATCCCTGTATTTGTCACCATTTGTAAGAGATTAATACTAACAGATACTTGCTCAGATGATTAAATTTGAGAAACTATACTTCCTTTAAAAAGTTTTGAAAGCAGATCTTGCTTTTCCATTCCAAGTGTTCAGTGTTCAGGAACCTGGTGAATACTTGTTCAATTTTAAGTTCCCTACTCTGCCTTTTTTTCCTGCTTCCTTTCTTTCTTTCTTTTCTGGCTTCCTTAATCAGCTAATCATAGAAACCTTAATTCAGGCCTCATTTGCTTTGGGGATCATGAGGAGGTGAGCAAAGACTTAACACTAAGGCTCTGGTAACGTTAATTGAATATTTAAATCATTGTTTTGAATTTTAGATCAACACGACTGCTGATGAGAAGGACCCTACAAATCCCTTCCGTTTCCCAAATATTGGTGTTGAAAAATTTCTGGAATTGAATTCTGAACAGAATCATGATGACTACTGTTTGGCCTATGTCTTCACAGACAGAGATTTTGATGATGGTGTTCTTGGTCTGGCTTGGGTTGGAGCACCTTCAGGTAGTCATCTAAATATGTCTTGACTTAATACTTGAAGTGAAAAATTTTCAGGGCAAATTGAATTTTACAGAATATAAGAGAAAGTGATATTGTGTAATTAACATGACTTGAGCTTGGCAGGACTCGTAAGCATAATGTAAATAGGAAAATAGGTGAAACAGCCTTTTATTTTTAAATGAATACTAACAGGAGATATCCTAACATTTGGTACATTCAGTAGCTGAAATAAATAATTGGGGAAAAAGTGGTACTTACTTCTGAAGCCAAACGCAAAATATTAATTTTTGTCACGAAAGTTAATGTTTTTCTTGTTATTCTTACTTAAAAAAGGATCTTAGAGTGAAAGGGGAAAACTGTATTCTTACTTCTGTTCTGCAGTAAAATGAAGAGCAGAGAAACCCTGGTTAGGAGCAAAACATAGAAAAGAAAGCCTGCCTTTAAAATTATTTTATTTTTAGCTTTTAGTTTGACAAGAGGGAAGTGTTGCCTGACAAGATATATAGACATGAGGCCCGAGTACCCACAGCTCCACTGACTTCACCACCTGGGCCCATGCCCTGCTGAGACCTCTGCTTTAGCCATGAAAGCAACTGCTTTTGAGAAAGCTGGGTTAGGATAATCCTCTTTCCATTGCATTGGGAGTGGGGGTCTGTGATTTACAGTATAATAAGTTCAGTAGCCTAGTTTAGAGAAATACAGATTGATTAATTGAAAGTTGAGTAGAAAGAATCCCAGATTTCTTTGATGATAACTTTTGCCATATAAAGTTTGATCAGTAGTCTGTCATCTTCTGAGCTACACACAGCAATTTCTCCTTCTTCTGTTTCTTCATTTCTGTTTTTAAAAGAATCAGTTTCTGCTTTATCCCAGGGTAAGACAGTTTTTTCTATTAATTTATTCTTTGATTTGTTGTACATATTTTAATATCTCAAATAGTACTGTATTTTTACAGTTTTCTTCAGTTTTTTTTTTCTACCTGTTAAACTACTTCATGATGTCATTCAGGTACAAGTTTATGTCATGGGCTGTATATATCATAGTGCAGTATTTTTGGATATCTGTCCCTTGTGATAAGCAGTGCTGGTTTTGTGTTACTTGCATTGTCAGCAGATTGTAGAGCGCCCTCTTTCCTGTGGTGTCTCAAATGTTTTTAACTTCTACATTCTAAAATTTCTTTTCCCCTCCTTTCATTAAGTTTGATGATTTAATTGCAACGTTTATGTGTTCCTCTCCTTATTCATTATTAAGTACTGTAAAAACTCAGGAATTCATTTATTTTTCTTCATAAGTTACCATTAATATGGTGGTGTTCAAAGTGAGCTCCACTAACTACCAGCATCAGCATCAACTGGGAACTTACTAGAAATTTAAGTTCATATGCCTCCTTAGGTCTGCTAAATCAGAAGTTCTAGGTGTGGAGCCAGACAGTCTGTTTGGACAAGCCCTCCAGGTGAATCTGATGCACATCCTGATTTTTGTCTCTAAAGAAGCTTGCTCACGAAATGTCTCCTGAGCAAGTGATCGGATGATCTTAGACTAAAACCTTCGGGCTATTTTACATTTTCAGCTCCAGGCTGTTGTTCTTTAAGAAGGTAATGCTCCTGAAGGAACTTGGCTAAATTTTCCTAAATCTTCAGAAATAAGCAAAAACAAAAACCAAAGGGGACTGTAATTTTTAGAACACTTAGAATTACAGAAAAATTAAGCAAGATAATATAAGTTCCTGTTCTCCTCCCACCCCATCTCCTAAATTATTAACAGCTTACATTAGTATGGTAAATTTGTTACAATTAAACCAATATTTATGCATTGTTGTTAACTGAAGTCCAAAGTTCTGTAATTTTTAGTAAGGCCCTTTTTCTGTTCCAGGATCTCATCTAGGACATTACATTTAGTTGTCAATCTCTTTAGTCTTGGCTGTAACAGTTTCTAGAACTCTTCTTGTTTGTGATGACTGACAGTTTTGAGAAGTACTGGTCAGGTTATATTGTAGGATGTCCCTGTGTTGCAGTTTGATATTTTCCTCATGATTAGGAGTTACGGGTTTGGGAGACAGTTAGTTTTCATATCTAGTTGTTTTCGATATTTGGACTACCATTTGTGATGCCACTCATTTTACTGAAGCAGCAGTAGGCGGAGTTGTGGACTGAAAATGGTGGGACACAGTACTTGTATTTTTGTCGTTAGGTTCTTCTGATGCCCTCTGCCTTTATTCTGTGCTAACCCAACTCCAGCTCTTAGAAATCTTCTAAGGACAGAAAAATGGGGTCTAGAGTGGGAAGGAAAGGGGATCTTGTTCATTTGACCTAGCTTTTTCTAGTATAGGATGCTTGTTTTGACATAAAATTGACTGCTTTCTTCTTCTTCTTTTCTTTTTGCCCTCAGACTACCTAAACTGAGTTATGTATTTGGCTTACTTTCTTCTTACAAAGAACTGTTTGTATTTGGTCTTGTTGATTATTTCAATACCCTTGTGAAGTGTAGGTTAATTACCTCCATTCTACACATGAGGAAGCTTGGATTCAGAGCTTTGTGACCAACCCAGTGTCACAGAACCTAGAATTTGGACCTTTAGACACCAGGTTCAATATGTTTGGTAGTTATTTTACTAGGTGTTATATATTGTAACATCCTCTTTGACATTTCTAATAAGAAGTTAAAATGTTCCCTGCATCTTAGTAGAGGTTTTATATTGTTGGAATCCATTTCCTTCTGTCTTGAGAGAAGAGTTATAAAAGAGTACTGCTTTATAATATTTAGACATCATTTTGGGTATAATTGTCATGGCATAATGAGAACAACACTGTGTTGGAAGCTAGAAGATTCGGTTCTTGCCTGTCTCTATTTATTCAGATAAATTGTTTTGCTTAAACTTGTTTAGTTTACATCATAGTTTCTTCTGTCTTTGCCCTTCCTTTGAGACTTCATGTTTCTGCCTGTAGATCTTAGTAATGTTTGCTGTTATCTTGGTTTTTTGAATAGAGGTTCATAGTTGATCTTTTCAGTTTGTGATCTGTTACTGTTCCTTTAATCTTTCATTTTTATTTGGCCTAATTAATTTAGATTCTGTTGTATTTGGCTTAATTTCTATAATTCTGCAGACATTTCACTATTCAAATATACTGTGATGGAAAGAGGATTTTTTGTGATGTTATGTTGATTTTCACGGAGTAACTAACTACTCAAATTATTAGCTGTAGTCCTCTTTACTGATTCAATTAAGCCAGGAAAAGCAGTGAGAGTTGAAGCATTTGAATAGCAGGTTTCTTGTCTTTACGTCTTTTTTACACTTGTTTTTATTTGCTCTTATTTAACGTCATACTGTAGTTGGGTGCTGCCCTGGATTTCTTTAATGAGGAAAATAGCACCTGTTCCCCAACTCCATAGTAAGTAGAAATAGGCAGTGAATGGGCTGACATGGAGGTTCCCATGTAAAATAATACAGGGCCCAGAAGGGTAGCAAAAAAAAGGGATCTGGTCTGTAAAACAAAGTTGATCTTGAATATGAATCTGGAAAGATTATTCTAAACTTCTCTTTATATAAGTACGGTTGTATGTATAGTAAGCAGGTAGCCTCTTATAATTTAATTCAGAGACTGAAACTTCGGTTCCTTAACAAAGTCAGTTCTTTATATTGAATGATCCTTTTGTTTTACTTTGTTTGCTGTACCTTTGTAACATACCTTTTGAGAGAGGCCATTTTTCTGTTTATTAGGGTGCGTTCTGCTTAATGTTATCCTACTTACAGTTAACCTCATTAAGCTAGTCTTAGTTTGGCCAGGTCACTGAGCAAGGCTAGCTCTGGAATTTATCTCCATGGTTAATCCTAACAAATCATTATTCCAGTGACCATTTATAAAGAACATTTTTTGAGACATTTCATTTGGTAGGAAGAGTCTAATCACTTTTTCTTAGTTTATAAATTTTTGTTTGATTTAATATATTAGTATTTGAAGGCATACTCTGCTTAACACAGTGTTCTTAAGATAACCTGTAGCCTCTCGGATTCTTAACCTGTTTAAAAGTCTAATTATAAGGCCAGGAAAATTGCATCATTAGAATATTGCAACAGCACCCTTAATACTGGCTTTTGGGGCAGGTCTGAATTGTTCCTTGCAGGGTGTTTGACATCTCTGGTCATTATCTGTGAGTACTGCTCCCCAGACATGGAAGACAGAGAAATCCCCCCAACATTTTCTGGGAACATTTTTGGGAGTGGTAGTACTGTCTGGTTCAGAACTACTACTCAGATTAATACTCTGTAGTCAAGTATGCTACTTCAGTTTTATGTGTTTGAGACTACTCACATCAAAACTATTTATGAATTCTGTGAAGGTATTATATTACCCTTTTAGTTTTTAAACTTTCTTTGTGGGGTAGGAGTTGTGTCTCTTAAAGTTTAGGACTGATATTCTGTGACTTTAGCTCTCAGACTATCCTATAGATAGAAAAATGTCATATTTATTTGTTGATCATTGAGTCATGCATCCATCAGTGATTGCTTTTGACCCAAAAAAGTTTTATTATTCACTGTTATTCACAATTTGTGTTTCAATGATGACTGTATGTAGTAAAATCTTAAGGTTACAGTATGAAGTGAATACTGAACTTGAGTTATAGTTTAGCTATAGGTATACAAGATAATCCATCACTAATTGAGTTTCTGGCATATTGAAACTATTGTAGTATTTAAAAAAAATTAAACTGTAACTTCTAAATTAGACAGACACTTTATTTCTTCCTGTATAGTTGAGTTATTCTAACATATACTATTAGTCTGTAATAAATATTAAAATTTCCTACAAGCAGTAGTCATTAAAACCAAAAACAGTTGTTTATGACTTTGAATATGGTATGCATCACAAAGACTGTATTTCAAAAGAGTACTCAAATTTATGTATGATCTTTCCTTAAATAAACAGACCTTAAAAATATAGAGAAGTGTATTATCAGTTTTTAATATATGCTATTTACTTTCTTTTCTTCCAACTGAGAAAGAC